AAACTACTTAAATACTATAGATAAACTCTTATAAAGTAACTCTAGAAGTAAGACTCTAGTTTTATAGTACTCTTTTATCTCTATAATTCTTAAATTCTAGGTAGAGAACCTACTAGCTAGTTACTTAAACTAATATTATTATTATAAATTACCTATTTAATAATATAATATAATAACTAATAAGAATTAGAATAATAACTTTAAATAGAAGCTAGCGTAGCTACGCTAGTATTATAGCGTAAATAAGAAATAAGAATTTAAGGTATATAATAAGTTATATAATATTAAGCTATAAAGGCGCGAAGGCGTAGAGAAGATATCTACTACGCTAAGGCGCTAAGATAGCTAAGGTTACATAGCTACGTAGATAGGTTAGTGCTATAATAGTATCTCTCTTCTAAATAGCTATACGTCTTAGATAGCTTATAAAATAATAAAAAATTTAGACTAACTAGTATTTATAGCCTTTTTATTTATTATAGTAGACCTAGCTTATCTAGATACTAGATATAGAATCTTAGTAACGTATTATTCTAACTCTTTAGATTTAACGCTAGTTACTATATTATAGTATAGTTCTTCTACTTAATAAGGTACTATAGTTCTAGTTACTTATTATAATAGTTTAATATTATATTAAACTTCTACTTTTTAGTAAGTTCTTCTATTCTATTCTCTCTTTTAAGAACTCTTCTATAAAGATAGCGTAACTCTACTTTATTAATTACCTATTAATCTAGAAGGCCTATAAAAGCGTGCTAGAGATAGAGTAGTAAGTTATAGAATACTAGAAAAATTTATATATATAGTAGAAGTTCTAGTATATATAATTAGTTATAGACCTTTAGTACTTTATATAGTTTTATAAGCTTATTATCTCTCTTTTTTATAGGTTTATTTATCTTTATATTACGCGTATTAATATAGATAAGGTCTTCTATTATAAATTATAGTACGTCCTTACATCTCTTATTTATATAGTATTTATACTAAGTAATAGACTAGATAGCTAGTACTTTTAGCTAGAATAGAATATAGCTAAAATAATTAGCTATATTATTAGCTCTAAAAAACTTACGTTTTTATATAGCTAATAGGTTTAGTAGTACTAGTTACGCTAGCTTAACTTCTAATCTTAGATAGAAGCTATAGTTTATAAAAAATAAAGATACCTTTATAGTCTTAGATATAATATTATTTATTATAAACTCTATAAGTAGTAGCTATTAGACTTAATTATCTTAGTAGAAGTTTATAAACGTCTAGAAGTATACCTTAATAGAGCTATTAACTTACTCTATTTATTTATCTATCTCTAGGTAGAACAAGAATAAGTACTTAAGTATAACTTCTAAGTAAGTAGAAAGCTATATCTAGAACT